GGAGCATCCCAGGAGGCCACCAAAAAGCCAAAATCCTTCAAGCGCCTAAGGAAAATCAATGAATTTGGCCTTCTCACCTTTTCGCTTCCGATGGCCTTCCGAGGCCTCTAGACGGCCTGCTCGCTCCAAGACGGCCCATGAGGACCCCAAAAGAAGCCCCAAGACGGCCCCAAGAGCGCTCCAAGAGCGCCCCAAGAGGGGCCCAAGAGGTGATTGTGGGGCCTCCCGAGGGGGGATGCTAATTAAGGGACCCCCCTTCTCTAAGCGATCTCCTCCAACATGGCCCCAAGAGGCGCCCAGAAGGCCCCTAGAGGCCCCAAGATGGCCCCAAGATGGTTCCGAGATGGCCCCAGGCCCCCAGGAGGCAGGCCCCTAAGGCACCCCCGAAGCACACAAGACGCCCAAGAGCCCCATAGGACCGCCGAGAGACCCCCAAGAAGTCCCAAGATGCTTCCAAAAAGCGCCCAAGAGATATCTCAAGAGGCCCCGAGAGGCATCGAAGAGACCTCTGGCCCTTTTGCTTGCCCTCCTCTTCCTGCCTGTCCTTCCTCCTCATACTCTTTCTCTTCCTCCTCCTCATCTTCATCATCATCGTCACCACCACCATAATCATCACGATCATCATCACCACCACCACCATCATCATAATTGTCGTGTTCCTTCTCCCCACTCCCTCATCCATCCATCCAGCCTCCTCCTTCTCCTCCTCCCTCCTTCGCACGGTTCGGCCGTCCACCTCGTTGCTCTCGCACTTCCCTGATCACCTCAACTCGCCTGGACATCGATGGGTTGGTGGGGATATTTTTCCGTCGCGGCCGCAGGCGAAGGCGCCCACAGCGTCAGCAGAGTTGGCTCGGGCTACGAGCAACCGAATTGCCGGCGCGCGCGCCGAACAGGGCAAGACGTAGCGCCGGGGGAAACGGCCGCGCCGGGGCTGAGTAGCGCCGAGGGTGAGGACTGCCTGCTGCGAAGGCTGCCAGAATGCTGCAACGTGCGAATACCATGGGAACAGAATCACCAGGCACGCGAATTAGACCTTGTCGCCACGCTGGTGGGGATACTTTTTGGTCAGCGGCCTCGTGAAGCGGGTCAAAAGGCGTCCAAACTCTAACCCGGCCACGACTAGGCAGCAGAAAAGCGGAAAGCGGAAAAGCAAGACAGGCGCAGAGAGGGGCAAGCGAAGCGAGCGCGCGGGAAGCCACACAGAAGTGCACCAGAAGCAGCACTCCCAGCCCGGTGGCGTGGAAATCCCGGTGGCGACCACCAAGTAGGCGCAGCCAAAATGGCGCGGCGGCGCGACCATGAACACGCAGAGGTCGATCACCCGTTGTGAGTCGGCATAGGGTCCGACGAAAACGAACAGGTCCGACAGGCACTTCAGGGAGACATCCGTGCCGTAGGTGACACAACAGCATCGTGTCGGCGCCGGAGTGAAGAGGGGGCAGCCTCGTCACAGACAGGACTGCAAACAGCAGATCCTCTGGTATGTACACCCGGTGGCACAGGTCGAAAGCGAAGTCCATGAAGGAGAAAGCAGCCGACGGCTGGCGGGAATACGCGAAACGTCTAGAACTCTACATGTCCATCGTCAAAAACTTACGAGTTCATCCCACCCCAGCTGTACCAGCCCAAGCGAGTGCGACAGTTCCCCCAAATGGGAAACAACTGCAGCAGTCCTTCACACACACACACACACACATATCGTGAAACCGACAAGCGAGGAGAATCACAGGGGGAGGAAAGTGATGACAACGTCGGCAGCGACGACGACGGCAGGAGCGACAACGAAGGCAAAACCAGCGGCGACCGCATGGCCTTCAGAGTATTGACCAACTTCGCGGTAATGCTCTGATCCAGGACCTGGGCCGTCGCCAGTTGAGAAATGCAGGGCAAGGGAAGGAGCATCGCGAAAGGGAACGGGAGAGGGAGATGGAAGGGAGGGAGGGCAAGGAGATCGGGGTAAGAAAGGCGTCAACCGGTCCGTTGCCTTATCATGAACAGACCTGGAAAGATCGCCAAATCCAATGACAGATCGAGTTTGCATGCTCGAAGCTTGATTGCTTACACCTTGGAGAGCACTATCGCACCTGGAAGATCACGCCCGGAGCGTCGACGCTCGAAGCCTGGGATGTTGCCTGGCAGCCATCTTGCAACTAGCAGTACCAGAACGGCCAGGCGCGAGGCTGCGTCACTGCCTCTTGAGATGTTGGCGCATGTGAAGGGGCCCAAGGACACACTAACAAATACGCACAAATCACAGGATTCCCTGTATTTTCCCATACTTCCTGGGTGTTTGTCTTCCCCCCCACTTCCCATATTTGCCCATATTTTCCTGGGAGTCGACGATGAATTGTGTCTGTGTGCTTTTTTTTCCCCTCCTGAGCATGGCTCGACCCACCTGTCAGGAAATCAAGCTCTGGCACACGAGGCACGAAGCGCACATCCTGCCCCAGAGTTCGGGCCACCCGATGCTGGGCTGCCAGGTTCGAACCTGCATACACACATGCATACATACATACAGGCAGACATACAAACATACACATACATACATGCATACATACAGGCATGCATACATTCATACATACCTACCTACCTACCTACCTACATACATACATACGTACGTACACACATACGGACAGACATACAGGCATACAGACATACAGACATACAGACAGACAGACATACAGACATACATACAGACATGCATACATACATGTATACATACATATATACATACATACATATACACATATATATATATACATACATAAATACATACACACACATACATACACACACACACATACATACATACATACATACATACAGACAGACAGACAGACAGACAGACATACATACATACATGCATGCATGCATGCATGCATACATACATACATACATACATGCATGCATGCATGCATGCATGCATGCATGCATGCATGCATACATACATACATACATACATATCTGCCGGCCAGCTTGTGGGGCCATCAGGCTGCGAGGATTAGGCTTGCTGATGCCTGCACGAGTTCCAGTTTCCGGTTTCCACAATCCTCCTTTCTGCTTACTACTGTAAATTGTTGAAATCTGCGCGATGGGAGGAGCCGAAAAGGGCCCGCTTACCACCCCGAAATCACGTTGCCTAAATTTCTACGAGGCCGTGGGAAGCGCAAAAATACGTGAGGTTCGCGCTCCCGACGCAATATTCATTTGAAAATTACACTGGATTTGCGTCCCCGAGGCCACGATCCCCCGTAAATTGCATGACGTTCGCGCCCCCGAAGCCACGATCCCTCGTCAAATACAAAATATTCGCGCCCCCGAGGCCACGATCTCCTACGAATTACGATTCGCGCCTTTAGAACCACGATCCCCCTTACAGTATACCACAGTGGCTGTCACGAGGCCGCGACTCCTTGTAAATTATACAATATTCGTGTCCCCGAGGCAAATAACCCTCGCAAAATACACAATTGTTTCGCCCCGAGGCAATAAACCCTTGAAACTTATACAAGATTCGCGTCCACGAGGCCATTAACCCTCGCAAATTACATAAGTGTTGCGCCCCCGAGGCAACAAACCCATGTCATGTACAGAAGTTCTGCGTCCCCGACATTCGCGTCCCCAAGCCAGAAACCATTTTAATTTAAATCCCCGAAGCCAGAAGCCCTCGCAAATTGCTTAATCCTCGCGTCCCCGAAGCCAGAATCCGTCGTAAATGGTACAAGATTCGCGTCCCCGAGGCCACAAACCTTCGCAAATTGCTCAATCCTCGCGTCCCCGAAGCCAGAATTCGTTTAAAATTATACCATATTCGCGTCCCCCAGGCCACAAACCCTCGCAAATTGCTAAATTACTACGTGCCTGAGGCAACAAACCCGCGTAGATGATTCAATAGTCGCGTCCACGTGGCCGTAAACCTTCGCAAATTTCTCCACACTCGTATTGCCGAGGCCAAAAATGCTCCAAGGCGCCCGAAGGCCAACATCGTCGACTTTACAAAGGTGTTTGAAAGAGTTTGGGGTCCTCCCATTTTCGGCTTTGCGACGCTCCTAGATGGCTCAAGAAGCTCCCAAGACCGCCCCAAGACAGCCCACGACGCCTCCAAGAGGGCCCCAAGACGGCCTGAGAGGGCTCCAAGATGGCCCAAGAAGCGCTCCGAGAAACCCAGAGAAGCCCCCAGGAGACCCCAAGAGGCCCCAAGAGGCGCCAAAGACGCGCCAAAGAGGCCTCCAAGAGGCCCAAACGATACCCCACGAGGCCCTCAAGAGGCGAGGCGCCGAAACCGCCTCCAAGAGGCCCCCGAGAGGCTCCCCACGACACCCCAGCACATATACAAGACGCCTCAGACCCACAACCCAGACACGCTGGTGGGATGGAGCGAAGGCCACTAGGCTAACGCCAACGCCTCAATATGCGCTGATGATTCTTATCCACCCCTGTATGATGTTCCCAGATGCGCCAAGGCAGCGCCGAGACACACCGACGCGACTCTGATATATCCCATTATGATAAAAAGAGGGGGGCCGGCGGCAGGGGGCGAAGCCATTACGGATATACCTGCAGACATGCATGCATACATACAAGCATGTATACATACATGCATACATACATGCATACAGCTATGCCTACATGTATGCATCAGTACACATGTGTAACTGTACACACATACAAACATGTATGCATGCATCCAAACATGCATACGTACGTAAATACATACATACGCAAATGCATGCATGCACGCACGCATGCATGCATGCATACATACCTTTACCTGCATGCATACATAGATGCCGCTTTATATATATATATATATACATATATATATATATAAAAAAAACATACATCCATACATACATACATACGTACATACATACATACACACACACGCACGCACGCACGCACGCACGCACGTACATACATACATACATACATACATACATACATACATATATATATATATATACATACATACATACATACGTGTATACATACACACATACATACATACATACATGCATACATACATACATATATACATACATACATACACTGACGCATGCATATGTATATACACATACGACCCTACATGCATACAGGTCTACATTAATGCATGCATGCGTGCACTCATGCATACATGCAAAAATGCATAGGCATGTACATGCATACATACATACCTACATACATACATACATACATACAGACATACAGATATACGTACATACAAGCATACATGCATACAAATATACATACATACATACATGCATGCATGCATGCATGCATACATACATACGTCTGTGCATGCATGCATACATACATATGCACATACATATATACATGTATGCATACATGCATGCATGCATACACATATACATACATGCATTACATTGGTTTGCATTGCAATGCATTGCGTTGTACTACATTATAGTAAATTGCATTCATACATACAGTGCATACACGTATACATGTATATGTGCACACACATACGTACAAACATGCATTCATACAGACATGCATACACATATCGCTGATTACATGCATATCAAAAATACCTACCTACCTACCTACCTGCCCCCTGCTCCCCTCAACCCCTCCACCCCCCCCCCAATGTCGGCACGGAAAGGGGAAACCAAAAGGCACCGCTACCGCTACTCTCTGAACCTCTCCCGGGCGCGTTCTGACCAGGAGTTCGAGGCGAATCCAACGGTGGCGACGAGGGCCTCCCAAGAGGCCCAAAAAGGGCAATTGCCTTCGGGATGGCTCCAAGAGGCCCCGACAGGCCAAAAAGAATCGCGCGACGGCTCCGAAAAGAAGGTCAAGAGAAACCCGAGATGGCTCCTGCCGACTCCAGACTGGCCAGCTTGGTGGCTGCTCGAACTGATCTCTCCTGTAATCCCACCAGCTCTTCAGGGCGTGAATGGTTTACGGCGTGTCCTCTTCCAACCCCCCTTCCTTCCCGTTGGGGAGGGGTTGATCAGTCTTCCCGATCAATAAACACCCCCTGCCCCCACCCGACCAACAGCCGACCTGGACCCATGCGACACCCAGGCGGGCATCCTCCCCACCATCCATGTCAAAACCATATCGAATACACTCTGCCTCCAAATCTGGAGCAAACGCGGGCGCCCTGCGACCACTTTCGCATTCATGCTTGACAGGGGCGGTGGGAGTGCCGGTATATTGTTTGCTCCGCGCATGCCAACACCCCACCACCACCCCTTGCAAAAAAGCAATACAGACATTGATGTCTGACAGGGACGGCGGGGGGACAGCGTATTGCCTACTGTGTAAAATGCCAACCTAGCAAAACAAACAGTGCGAAATGCACTTTGCACCTAAATCTGGATCATGCGCGGACGCCTCGCGCTACTTCCTGCGCGAGGCGTCCGCGCATGATCCAGCTTGCCAGGGACGGCGTGGGGGGGGCGGCATACTCCTGTTGCGCGCAGGACCACCAAACAAATGCAAAGTGATCGCGGGTGCACACCCGCACACAGAAATTCCGCCGTCACTTTGCATGGGTTTTTGACAGGGGCGATGGGGGGAGGACATATTGCCTAACGCGGCGCACCTGGTGCACGTGGCGCAGCTGGCATGTGGAGCGCACCTCGCGGGCTTCGCGCACCTGGCCGGCGTCTGCATTGGTTCCCAGTGGTTGTCGAAGGCGGCCTCTGTCCATGCATTATGTATTGGGAGGGCGGGTGGGAATGAGACGGGGGCAAAGGTTTTGCGCAAATGTTGGCTGGGGGGGTGCTGATTTAAGTATCCCCCCTTCTTCGATCGAACTCCAAGATGGCACCCCCAAGGCTCCCAAGAGTGCCCCAAGAGGGCCCCAAGAGGCGCCCAGGAGGCCCCAAGAGGCCCCCAAGAGGTCCCAAGAGGCTCCCAAGAGATCCCCAAGAGTCCCCAAGCGGCTCCCCGCGGCACCCAAGACGCTCTAAGAGGCCCACAGGTCCGCCAACTGGCCCCCAAGACGCCCCAAGAGAACTCCGAGAAGCTCTCAAAAGACATCCGAAGAAACTCCGAGAGGCATCCAAGAGGTAACTGGCTTTTCTGTTCGCCCTCCTCCTCCTCATCCTCCTCCTCATGATCATTATCGTCATGATCATGATCATCATCATCATCATCATCATCATCATCATCATCATCATCATCATCATCATCATCACCAGCAGCACCATCATCATCATCATCATCATCATCATCATCATCATCATCATCATCATCAGCAGCAGCATCACCATTATCATCATGATCGGCATCACCATCCTCATCATCATCATCATCATCATCATCATCAGAAGCATCCTCATCATCATCAGCATCATAATCATCATTTTCAGCATCATCATCATCATCATCATCATCATCATCATCAGCGTCATCATCATCATCATCATCATCATCATCATCATCATGATCGTCACCACCACCACCACCTCCACAGTCATCATCAGGCGCAGCAGGCAGCATCATCATCACCACACCCACCACCACCATCATCAGCATCATCATCATGTCGTCGTCCTCGTCGCGGTCGTCCTCGTAATCGCCATCACCATCGCCATCGCCATCAGCAGCATCATCATGCTCATCAGCATCAGCATCATCATCACCACCACCATCATCATTCATCAGCATCATCATCATCATCATCATCATCATCATCATCCTCATCATCAACAACGCGTGTTCCTCCCCAGCCCTCCTCGCTCATCCCCCCCTTCCCCCTCCTCCTCCTCCTCCTCCTCCTCCTCCTCCTCCTCCTCCTCCTCCTCCTTCTCCTCCTCTGGGGTTTTGACGGCTCCCAACATCCTCTATTTCACTGCATGTTCGTCCACATTCCTGGCCAAGGCAACACGCCTGGGCATCGTTTCTGGAAATGCTGGTGGGATTTTGTTATGTTACGCGGGCGCGCGAAGCGGGTCGAACGCCGGGCAAGCAGGGGCAGGCTGTGCCACCAGCCAAAGGAAACTGTTGGTGGGGTTATTTTTTGGGGTCGCGGCCGCGCAGCAGAGGGCAGGCGGCGAGAGGGGGTCTGGGGCACGGGCCAGCCAAAATTAGCTACTAAGCGAATTTGCTGGCGGGGTTCCTTTTTTGATCGGCGGCTCGCAAGGACAATTCCCGGGAGCGGGATGGTCTCGACAGGGGCACTGGGCGAGAAAATTAGCTGCTGTGGCCCATAGGCCGCGGCAGCGGGTGCACGCGCCAGGGACAAAATGACCCTCATTACGACGCAAGCGACCCGAAACGGGGAACGCAGGCATCAAACTAGAAAGCGTACGGAGGGAGCAGTCGCACAAGTGGCGCCAGCTCAGACCGTACCGAACGGCGCGCACGGGCGTGGACCACGCCGCGCAATGGCGGCACAAAGGGGCCGGGGTGGCCGTGCCGTCCAACACGAAGAGGAGGCCAAGGAACAAGAGAGGCAGCGGGGGCAGGAGAAGGGGGAAACAGGTGGAGGCCTCACTCACAAGGACTCATAGGAAGCACTGGGCACGAGCGACCGGCCTATTCGACCCAGCGGCCCTGTCAAAGTCCACGGCCTGCAACATCCCTAACACTGAAAGTCGGGGGGGTGCAGCTGCAAGCACGGTCGAGTCCCCTAGACCCTTGCGGGAGGGCCGTGGTGAACTGCCAAAGGATAAACCACTTGTGCAGTAGCTAAGACTCGGAGGCGACGCCCGCCGTGGAAAGCAAGTCGTCGTCGTAGTCGGCGTACAACGCTGGCAACTTATCCGTCACAGGGGACGGGGGCACAAAGTCGCGAGCGTCAACCGAGGTAACAGGGGCGGACCTATCGGGGGATCCGCGAAGCGTCTAGAATTTAGCCGGTGTCCCCCTTCTGTGTCTAACGCCCATTCACGCCCATCCTCACGACTACTCGGCTGGAAATGGTTTCTGGGTGGGCTGTTGCGGGTACGCGGAGCATCAAGAGTTATTGCTGCAGAGGGACTCCCACAAATGTCGTCATGCCCCCTTGGTACATGCTTGATGTTGTTGTCATTACCCGACTCTCCCACTCTCGCACGTTCTTCGAAATACGTGATGCGTGCGCGTGATATGACATGAGTCCTCGTCCACGGACTCCGCGAGCAACCTTGCAGCTCTGCTGGGCGACTGCGCTGTTGCTCGCAATAGCTGCCACGCTGTCACTGCCCAAAAACGTGCACAAACAACGCTCGCCTCAACACGACTCGCAGATGCCCCTTGCAGCGAAAGGCACCGTCGACAATGTTGGACGCGCTGGTGATCCGGCACCGCCCCCGTTCCAGGTGGAGGCGTCACCATTCTCGGTCCTACTGAGTACGTCGACATTTTCGCCAGTCTTCAACTGCAAGTACTTGCCCGAGGTTCGCGCCAAGGACTCCAGAGTATTCTGGCCTGCCTTCTCGCCCCAATCATGCAGGTGGCTGCTACTTCTTAAATGCGGTGCGCGAGTCGCGTCATTCATGGCGGTCTCCCTACATAGTCCTGCAAGGGCACAAAACTGACTTGTCTCCGGTCTTACAGGTGCACTTAGTACCGTCCATACGAGTTCCTCGCACGGTGGAAAGGTGCCAACGTTGAGTAGCTGGTTGCGTACCATCATGGCTTTGGTAACTGCAAGCTCGCTCGGTACAGCCATGTCGCTGTCCTCTGCATGTCATCGGATACGTCTGGCGTATGTAAGATGACCTCATGGCGTCCCTCAATGAAGGCTACTTTGGAAGCCACTGGTTTTGGTCGTCGCTGCATGTTGCGCTGATCGCTGCATAGATAGACATGCGCTCTCATAGCCGAGAGGCCCTCTGTGACCTGCGACCGTGTGTCGATGAGCTCCGAAGAACACGCCCAAGTTTGGCAGAAAGCGCACAGGACGTCCGCAAGATCTCTGGTGGGGCGGATGCCTCCTCCTGATAAGCACAGCCCCCCGTCGATCGTGTCACCGGTGACGAGATCGCCGACGAACAACCGACCGAATTGCGCTCTCTGAGTGCCAACGGTAGCCTTCGAGAGGACACGTTCTTTGGTGTCGCTGCTGCTGGCGGCGATCACGGCATGAGGCAACGACGTCGCGGATGCTGATGTCGAGCTGCATGCCTGCGTTCTGCAGCATGCGAGTAGTGCCGTGCGCTTGAGCGTGCCACCATACCATGTGCAAAAAGGTCAGCTTGCGCAGCCGGAGTGAGAAAGCAGGGCACAGACATGAGCCAGAGGCGAAATGGGGAAAAAAGGGAACGAGGAGGAGGCACGGGAGGGCGGGGAGGATCCTAACGGGCGGGTCGGATCGGGTCGGGCGGGCGGACACCCTAACGGGCGGGTCGGGTCGGGCGAGCGGGACATTAAAGCGTGGTGCATGATCCAGTTCACGCGCGAGAACCCTAACGGGCGGGTCGGGTCGGGTCAGGTCGGGCGGGCGGAGCCTAACGGGCGGGTCGGGTCGGGCGGGACATTAGGGTAGCCTAGGGTAGGCCCTAGGGTAGCCTAGGGTACGGCCTACCCAAGGCCCTGGGGTAGGCCTGGGGTAGGCCTAGGAGGTATGCCTAGGTGTAGGCCTAGGGGAAAGGCCTAGGGGTAGACCTAGGGTAGGTCTAGGGGGTAGGCCTAGGGGTAAACCTAGGGTAAGCCCTGGGAAGGTAGGCCTAGGGGTAGACCTAGGGTAGGCCCAGGGGGTAGGCCTAAGGGTAGGCCTGGGGGATGCCTATGGGGAAGCCGTAGAGGGTGTGCCTAGGGGGAAGGCCTAGGGGGTAGGCCTAGGGGGTAGGCCTAAGGGGGTAGGCCTAGGTGTAGGCCTAGGGTAGGCGTAGGGGAAAGACCTAGGGGTAGGCCTAGGGTAGGTCTAGGGGGCAGGTCTAGGGGTAAACCTAGGGTAAGCACTGGGGGGTAGGCCTACGGGTAGACCTAGGGTAGGCCTGGGTAGGCCTGTGGGTAGGCCTGGGGTAGGCCTGGGGGTAAACCTAGGGTAAGCACTGGGGGGTAGGCCCAGGGGGTAGACCTAGAGGTAGGCCTAGGGTAGGCCTAGGGGGTAGGCCTAGGGAGGGCCTAGGGGAAGGCCTGGGGGTAGGCCCAGGGTGGCCTTGGGGGTAGGCCTAGGGGTGCGCCTAGGGTAGGCCTAGGGGTAGACCCAGGGGCAGACCTAGGGTAGGCCTAGGGGGTAGGCCTAGGGGTAGGCCTCGGGTAAGCCTAGGAGGTAGCCCTTGGGGTTGGGCCTAGAGGTAAGCCTGGGGTAGGCCTAGGGGGTATGCCTAGGGTTAGGCCTAGGGTAGGTCTAGGGGGTAGGCCTCGGGGTAGACCTAGGGTAGGCCTTGGGGGTAGGCCTAGGGGTAGACCTAGGGTAGGCCTAGGGAGTAGGCCTAGGGGTAGACCTAGGGTAGGCCTAGGAGGGGGGCCTAGAGGGTAGGCCCAGGGTAGGCCTAGGGGGTAGGCCTACCCTCCGGGTTCTAGATGGAGGGGAGGGGGAGGAGGCAAGGAGGAGGAGGAAGGAGAAGGAGGAAGGAGGAAGGGAGGAGGAGGAGGAGGAGGGAGGAGGAGGAGGAGGAGAGGAGAGGAGGAGGAGGAGGGAGGAGGGGAGGAGGGAGGGGGGAGGGAGGAGGAACGTTGTTGTGCCCATACCGGCGCCTCCTGGCTCTCGAGCGTGTGGCCCCAGCACCTCGCCTGCGGCGGAAGAGACAGGGGAGCCATCGAGGGGAGGAAGGAGCTGGGGAGCAGGCCGAAGGGAGCGGGGGGAGAGGGGAGGAGGGGAGGGGGAAGGGGGGAGGGGGGGGACAGGGGAGCGGGGGGTGGGGAGGAGGGAGAGGAGAGGAGGAGGGAGAGGAGAGGGGACGGGTGAGGGGACGGAATAGACGGAGGGGTGAGAGGACAAATACGACCATGGGAGGCCTTCATGCGATCAGAATACGATGAGCAGCGGTACAGCTAAGCCGATTTCGCAAACACTGCTTGCACTAAGAGACTCGTAGTTTTCAGCTGGAGGAGTGACGGACATGTGCTGCAACATATGTGTCCCGACCTGATGTTCTATGGGTGGCGTTCTATGGCTGGTGATCTATGTGTCACGACCAGTGCGAGGCATCGTTCCCGCCCTGGTGTTCCGTGGGTGGTACTCTGTCTAGCTGGTGCTCTGTCGTGCCCCATACAATATTGTGTCTCGCTCCTGCTCTGGTGCTGTATGGGTGGGGTTATGTGGGCGGCGTTCTGTCACTCCCCACTCTGCGCCAGGATTCCTCGTGCTCGCCTTGGAACACTACGGGTGGTGCTCTGTGGCTGCCACCGTTGCTAGGAGGAGGAGGAGGAGGAGGAGGAGGAGGAGGAGGAGGAGGAGGAGGCGGTGCTCTATGGCTGGCGCTCTGAAGCGATGCCCCATTCGCCGGGATCGATCGTTCTCGCGCTGGTGCGCTACGGGCAAGAGGCCCCGTGGCCCGCGATCGAGGGCGTGTGCGATGTGCTGCGAGTGCGCCTTCCCGATCTGGTGCTCTATATGGGTGCTGCTCTATGGCTGGCGCGCTGCAGCGCCCCCCTTACTGCGATTGCTGGAGGAGGAGGAGGAGGAGGAGGAGGAGGAGGAGGAGGAATCCCAGGGCAGCACGGCGCGCCGCGCGCCCTCTGGGCGGTGCTTCCTGCCCAACGCTCTCTGGTGCTTGGCGTGCCGCCCTGGAGCTCTGCGGATGTTGCTCTGCAGCCGATGCTCCGTCGCACCCCGGTACTGTCAGCTCTGGTTCCCGCCCTGCTCCGTGGACGGTGCTCTGCGGCTGAGGCTCCATCGCGCCACCTTTGTTGCGACGCCTCGCTCACGCCCTGGTGCTCTGCGGGTGGTGGACTGTGGCCCGAGCTCCGTGCGCCTGCTCGTTCTCGCCCTGATACTGTGTGGGTGGCGCTCCATTGGCTGCGAATTCTCGTCCTCGCCCTGCCGCTCTAGGAGGTGAGCTTCATGGTTGGCGCTGCCTCGCGCAACAGTTGCTGCGATTCCTCTTTCTCGCTGCGATGCCCAATGGCTGGTGCCATGTCGTGCCCAATGTGTCAGTGCCCGATATTTACCGCGATTTCTGGTTGCGGTCCTCGTTCCCACATGCCTCCGCCGAGGAGGGGAATTCGTCCCGCCAAAGCGTTATTGAAAAAATACGGGGTACTTATCTTGCAGCGATTGGATGCTCAGTGTCAGCAGTTGCTGAGACGGGAATGACATCATAATACGATAGGCTCAGGATACGTTCCAGGAATTCTGGAGCATCTAACGGCACTCCTTTCTGCAGCCCGTGAGGAGCATAAGGAAATCTTGGGAATCTTGGAAAACCTAGAACGTATCATTATCATCAACTAGTCGTTAAAAGGGAGAATGGTATTTTGGGGGGCTGGCCAGAAGTGATCACACCTAGGCCTAGTACGCCTACGCTCCCCCGGGGAGCAGGTCCTTCGCTCTGGCCGTCCTCGCCAGTCCCTCGGGCTCCAGGGGGGCCCTGGCCACGAGTGGCCAGGAACTCCAGGACCTGGGACCTGGGGGGGGGCGGGCCTTTCAAACTATTAGGCGTTTCCCAGGGAGGCCCGTGGGTGGGCCAGAAAAGCTGCAACGCGAACGGGGCCCAGGGACCCCTGCGGCATGCCCAGAACTCCCTACCCGATAAAGACTCATGAAAGTTACAAGATCAATAGTCGTTAGTAGGGGAAGGGTCTTTTGGGGGGCAGGCCAGAGGTGGTCACACCTAGGCCTAGAGCGCCTACGCCCGCCTGGAAGTGGAAGGCCTAGACGAAAAAGCTTATTCGAAAAAGGAGAGGTGAGAAGTAGGAGAGAAGGGTTTCAGAGCGCCGCCCAGAGGGGAGGTATATAAACAATCCTAAATACTTCCGCCACCGCCGCCCCGCCGGGGCCGCCGCGCCGCTCCGAGCCCCCAGAGAAGGAACAACCCCAAATCGGGCTGCCTTCGGGCGGGGCCACCGACCCCCTCGAACCACCCGCCGCGGCCGGCAGGTTTGAGGGGACCAGACGACCGACCCAGGCGACACGAAGCGCAACGAAAAGCCCCCGCACCCGAGGACGGCCCGACCTGGGGAGCGCGCCCTCTCTCGGACGATCAGCAGACTCGACTCTGCCAGAGCGAAGCGAGAGGACGCCCAAGCTACACCGCGCGGGCGCCGAAGGCCCAGATGCCGGCGGGGCCCGCGGCATGCTGCGCGAGGAGCGCCAGGCCGTCTTCGAAATTGATGCGCGCGGTGCGCGCATCTGACCAGCGACCGCCGTCAGTAGGCGCGCCGCTGGACCCCGGTCTCCAGAGGACGGGCCGGGGCCCACCCACGTCGAGCCTGACCTGCCGCGGGCACTCCGCGCGCCTCCTGAGCGTCGGCGCCGGGCTCGAAGGAGCACCAGTACAAGCGTGGCCGGCGCATGCGGCACACCTAGCTCGCGCAGAGGCGCAGCAGCTTCACCCCCAGGAGCTCGGCGACCGCGCGGATATCGCCCTTGTCAGCGGAGTCCGCGTTCTCTGAAATAAACTCCCACTCCCACGAGTCAAACAGCTCGGCGAAGAGGTCCAGCACGCGCACCGCCGATGATACCAGACCGCGGGTCGGCCAAGCCACTCTTTCCTCGCCACGTTGAGCCCCGAGAGACCTCGGCAAGGAAACCCGCCAACGATGAGGAGCCGCCTACTTCCTTCACGTTCGGACAGGCGCTGCAGGCCGCCCTCGACGCGACGGGGTCGATCTCAGACGAGAAGCGCCACGAGCATTCCAGGCCCAAGAGGGCCGAGGCCGCGCGCGCGCCCCCGGTGCCATCGAAGAGGCCGAAGATGATGACCTCGTCCTCACTGCGCTGCCAGGACGCAGCCCACGCTCGCGAGCGCGGCCTCGCCCTCGGGCGCGAGACCGCGGCTGACGCAGACGCCCCCCCCCGTCGGGGCTCGCGTCGGAGCAGGATACCTCGGGCGAGACGCGCGCGCAGCCGGAAGTCCGCGCAGAGCAGAGGCGACAGCAGCACGACAATCAGGAGCTCGTCCGCCACAGCCAGGGGCAGCGCCCAGCTCCGCGCCCGGCCGCGCACCCAGCGCCAGACCTTCTCGATGCACGCCATGCCTGCGCGGCGACGGGCGAACACTCTGACCCAGCGCCAGAGGAGGATCTGCCAGCGCTTCTTGTTTACGACAGGCCGCGCAAGCACCCACAGCGTGAGCGAGATCGACTGGGACACGTAGCCCCTGGAAGCCTCCTTGCGGCCGAGCTCTCCGTCGATCTTGTCGCCCAGCGCCTGCGCCCCGTGCTGGCGGAGGACGTCCTTCGCTGGCACCCCAGGGGTACCGCGGCGCGAGTACGCTGCTAGAGCTGCCTCCTGTAAAGGGCTAACTGGGCCCTCGAGGGCGGCGCCCGCGGCCTCCAAGATCTCCTGGACCTCGAAGTCGTCGATGCAAACCTCCCAGGCCATGACTTCACTCGCCAATGCCAAGAGCGGGGCGGGTCGGTCACCTCCCCACTCGCTCTCGGGCGGGAGGTTCGCCCCGATGGCGCGGCCGCGCCTGGGGACTTTGCGACGAGTATGCCGCGCCACTCCGCTCGCCGAGATCCAACCCGCGGCGACAGTAGCGCTGGCCACGCACGCGGAGCCGGCCTTCGGCGCGCCCGCGAGATGCCCGGGCACGGAGGCATTGAAAGCCATGACCTTGCGCCAGCAAGGAGGCAGCCTGAAGACGTAGAAAAGCAATGGCGGTCGGAGGACGCCCACAGCATGAGCTCGCGCACCAAAAGCGTGATCGAGGCCTATTGAGACGACGGCGGGAGCTGATCCACGTCGCCAGACCACGCGCTGCACGACGCCGAGCGAGACGAAGCCCATGATGAGGCGAAGCACGTGACCAAGGGAGAGACGAGACCCCTCAGCGCGACGGTCATCGCAGCCCCCCTGCGCGCGCCAAGGCGCCAAAGGCTCCGCACAAAACTGTTTCGCCCCCGACGTGGGGCGCGCCCTCGAGCGCCGTGGGCTCCAAGAGGCCACGAGCCTAGAGCAACTCCACGAGCCAGCATCAGGCCCCCTCGGGCGCCCAGACCCCGGCGCGAGGAGGTCGCGAAGGACACGCCCCATGCAGCGGGAGCATGGCGTCAGCGTTCAACGGCGCTCTCCGCACTGGGCCCTCGCAGAGGCCCGCGCCCTCCACGGAGGCAGCGATGCCTGGAGGCGGGAGCGCTGGCAGCACCTGCTCGACGGAGAGCGTCTCCGCCGCGCTCATCTCCTCGCCGTCGTAGGCCACGCGCTTCCTGGCCAGCTCGGCGCCCCAGTCTGCGGGACTGGGGGGGTCTGGGCTGCGCGGCGCGATGAGGGTCGCTGCCCTTGCCGGCATCCTGATCGAGCGAAGCTGCGCCAGGCTCGGCGGCCCCGCGCGGGGGCCCCTCTGCGCGTCCACGGCACAGCTGGCGTAGAGGCGGCCGCGGGCGATGATGATCACGCACACCCGCTGCTTGCAGGCCCGCAGCGCGTCGGCCGAAGCGGCACCCACGGACGCGAGCTCGTCGCCCGCGAGCGCGCGAAAAGGCGGGGGGGCCAGGTCACGCCGCCCCCCCTCTGCACTAGGAGCTGACCTGCCTCCGAGGCTTGCGAGCTGGCGCGCCACTTCGCCAAGCCTCGCGAGCATCCCCCTAACCAGCTTCAAGAGGGCATACGGGACCCGGCGAACCTCGCACTGCTGAAGCTGAGCCGCGGCAGCACTGAGGCACGGCGGCCGGCGGGCGAAGCTCGACCCACTGCGGGCAGGCGCCCCCAGCGACGACGGCGCGACGAATGCACCGTCGACCTCGCGCCCTCCAGCGAACGCGGCCGCCAGCACGGCAGGGGCGGCGGCAGCCCCGGAGCCCCAGACGGCGGCCCCGGAGGCCCTGGCGGCGCCCCCGGCGGGGCGGCGGTCGCGGAGGTACCTGGGAGTTTCCGAATGCCTCCCCTCCTGGCGGGGCCGGGGCGCGGCCCCGGAAGCCCTGGCGGCGGCCCCGGAGGCCGCGGCGTCGGCCCCAGTGGCCGCCCGGGACGGGCCTGGTTGGAGAAGGTCGGGGTCGGGCCCTGGCACCGAGGGCGCGCTGACTTGCCCTTCTCGCCCCCGCCCTTGCCCTTGCCATTGCCCTTCAGGCGCTTGCCCTTGCCTCCGCGGCCCTTCGGAGACGGGGCAGGGGGGCCGCTCTACCCACAGCAGCAGGGCGGATCTGCCCGCCGCCAGGCACGCGTCGCCCCGGAGCACCGCGGCCCTGACAGGGCGGGCGTTGACCTCGCAACGAGCCCCCGCCCCGCCCGCCTCCACAACCTCGACCTTTGACGCGAAGGAGACACGCAGGGCCGGGGGGGCCTCCGCCAGGGCGGGCACCGCTGCTGGGGCTCGCCGCCCTCGTCGGCGACGGGGCGCGAGGCGAGCCCGGGGCTGCCCCCCCCGCACTCGCCGCTTCCCCGCCCGCTCGGCCGCGGCGCGGCGGCGAACTCCTCGCGAGGGGCCCGAGGCTGGAGCCGCAGCATGCGGCTGGCTGTCCGCTGGAAGGCCCGCGGAAATGCCCGCGCCCACGGCTGCGCGAGCGGGCGAGGGTCGCTTCAGAGCGGGAGCGGCTCCTCGCCCCTCGCCCCCGCGGGGCCCCCAGCCCGCACCCCCGCGGTCCCAGGCTCTGACCTCCTGGAGCCGAGCCGCTAGTATGGCGCGCTGCGCCGCTGCGTGGCGCTCGCTGAGGCTCACCAGGCCGGTCCGATCGCCCACGAACTCCAGCTGGCTGGCCACGGCCCAGTCCTTGTCGTGGACGCTCATATCCAGCGCCTTCACCATCTGGATGAGGAGGTCGCCAACCTCGGGCAGCTTGCCTTGGAGGAGCCCGTCGATCGCGTGCGCTATCGTCCTCGTCTCCTTCACGGTGTGCTGGGAGACTCCGCTCTGCGGATGCTGGCCGAATCAGATGCTGTTCAGGTACGCCAGCACCCGAGATGACGATGAGCCCGCGCCTTGGGCCGCCGCTTCCCGTCCCCCGAGGAACTGGGCCATCTCGTCCAAGCCCGACTCGAGCAGCCAGGCACCCGGGCGCCGGCGGGCCGCCTGCCGAATTCGGCGGGCACCTTAGCTGGAGGGGGCGTCGCGAAAAAACGGCCCGCATCGGCCGGTTGAATCCCGAGGGCAGGCTCAAGTCCAGCGCGGGCCCGCTTGGCCGCGGCCCCGAATAGGTCCACGCGCCCGTCCTGCTCTCTTGAGCGCCTTCATGAGCTCCTCGACCTTCTGGGCCAGCACCGCCGCCTCGCGCGAGCGACTGCGGCGTCTCCCACGCCGCCCAGCGCGCCAGGCACCCCGGCCAGCACCTGCTGCCGCGCCCGCGGCTCGACGACGCAGCGGGCTACGCGCCCGAGCCACGTCCACATGGCACACCGCGTGGGCGCCTGCGGAGGCGCTGAACTGCTCACGGGCACCAGCGCACAGGTCCAACAGAGGAGCACCGGTCGGCGCGTTCCACGCCTCGTCGAACGCGAGGGTGCAGATCGGGGTCGGGTCGCCCCCGAAGGTCGCGGTGGCGAACGTGCCAAGCGCGTCGGGCGCCCACAGCATGCCGTGCCGCGGCAGAACCGAATCGTTGACGGACCCCTGTTCATCATGCGTCGGCACCTCCAGCACCGATCCAACTTGCAAGCCCAGCTGCTGTGCCAGGTGCGGCCCAAGGCCCTTACCGAGCCAAGGGCCGTCCGCTGCCGCAGGCGTTCTTGCCCCAGCAGGGAGGCCCAGCACGCCAGCCGGCAGGCCTGGCCTGAGGGCGGCCACTGTCGCGGGAGCCCCAGCCTGCAGGACCTGAACGGCCGCCCTGATGCGCCCGTCGTCAAGGCCCACAACTAGGCCGCGGGCCACCTGTGCCAAGCCAGCTGCCACGTCGCGTGGATCGCCGCCTCCTGCATGCGCGACGGCCACCGCTGCCTGATGGAGGCCCGCGCCGCGGCGGCCTCCTCGACCTCGGGCCGCAGGCGGAGGGGCAGCGACGCCGAGGAAGGGCCGCCGGCAGCGAGGGGAGGGGCGGCCCAAAACGCGCAGGCGCCGCCTCCGGGGGCAGGCTGTGGGAGCGGCGCCCTGGCCCCGGCCACGCGCCGCGCCACCGCCACCGCGACCCCGTCCGCGGCCTCGTCCGCGGCCACGCGCAGCCGGCGCTCCCCGGCCGCCACGCCCGCGCGTGGGCGGCGTGCTGCCGCCCCCGCTCGCCGAGGCCCGGTCGCGGCGGGCAGCAAGGGTAGGAGACCGATTTCTGACCACACCCACTTCCCGAGGTGCCTTGCGAAAAGCGGTTTCCAGAGGTGGAGGTGGGCAGTTTCCCCGCCCCAGGGGAAGGAAAAACTACCCACTTCCACCCCCGAGGGCCTATCATAAAATCGAGGATCCAGAGGTGGATGTGGTCAGAAATCGGTCTTCGAAAAGGGCCGCAGGAGGCTCCCCACGCGAGATCGCCGCGCGCGCGAAATCAACCAGGGCGGCCGACCAGGCCGAGGGGGAGCCGATCCGCGCGGGCCCGGGCGAGGCGCCGACCGAGCCCGATGACCGGCGGCAGCGGGGCAGGGCCCGCTGCCGGGGATCTCCCTTTGGCGGGGCCTCCGCCAGGGGCACTCCAAGCCAGAAAAGCTGCAACGCGAGCGGGACCCAGCGACCCCTGCGGCCTGCCCAGGGCTCCCTACCCCATGACGACTCATGAAAATTACTAAATCAATATGGCTCCTCTGAGCTACCGCTCCAACACCCTGGCGCCGCAAATCTGTTACCAGGCATGCCCTCCCAGAGCTGTAGCTCGAGGGGATGCGCCACGGCAGCCCCCCAAGAAAAAAAAACCCTGGGGCGGGAACGGAGAGAGGGAAGGAAAGGAAGGGGTAGTAGGAGGTAAGGACGGGAGGGAAGGATGCAGAGGGCTCGAAGGACGAAGAGGAGAAAGAAGGAACGAATGCCGCTCTCGGATCAGGATGCCGCGTCCACATGAAGCGCCGCACGCAGCAACGACAGCGACGAGTTAGAGGAACATGGTCACGGATCGAAGCACTTCTGGCAGCCGAGTCACTACTGGATGATGCAGCATGAACCGTATTGATGCTGCCGCTGCGTGCAACGTCTGAGCATCGTCGTCAATCATCGGCGGTGCCTCTCGAAGACGAAGCCCCCAAGAGTTCTCCTTCTCGATCGTCCCTTTGGGTGTTTTTCCTGGTCGGTTTGTGGCGTCGCGCAACGGATGCGCACATGGAGACAGCATGGATGCAAAGAGATAAACGCCCCGTCCTCCTCCTCACCCTACTACTACTTCTACTACACCTTCCTATCCTTCTCTTCGTGCTCATTCCCGATATCACCTACTGCCTTCCCTACGTTTCTCCACCGTCCAGACATCTGCGGGCCCCTCCACCATCTCGCACCTGACCCGAGACCTACGAAGTCGATCGTATTCGAGCACGGATCGCTGCGCAAGAATGCTGCCTGATCATGCGATGTGCCCGCCTTTGCTGATATGCCATAATGGCTGCCGTTTCCTTCTGGTCATTTCGATGCCCACAGCAAGCAGTAGGCCTCAACGGCCCTTGATGCGCCCCGTCTTGGGCGTCGTCGAGGCCGAGGGCAGGAAGAGACATCCCTGTCATGTCAAATAGTCGTGCACACAGCGCTCGCTGCGCGATCCAGAACACAATGTATGTATGTATATATATATATATATTATTATTATTATTATTTATGGACGAATGATTGTTTTCGGGAATGGACAGAACCCCCTTTAGTAAGACGTGGTTTAGTGAAAACGACCTCGGGCCAAACCTGGCGAGCGCAAGCCTGGAAAATGACGGCCGCGGCGCCCTTTCGAGAGGCAAAAACGGACAATTCACTAATCGACGTGTCAGGGCGGGGGTTCTGTCCACCCACTATGTTTTACATGAATAAACGCAATATCCACCGGCCCCCTTGTGGGGACACCAGGCTGTAGGACGAGGGTTTGCTGTTCCCTGCACCAGTTCCAGCTTCCAGTTTCCACTGTTACAGTTCTACTTCTTTGTTGCTTACTGTTCCTTGTTGTAGACCGCTCGAGGGGGCGGAGCCGAAAATCAGCCTGGTTAGCGTCTCCTGGGAGGGGTCTCAACCTTTCCGGGGGGGGCGCGGGACAAATTCGCCGGCCCAACGGGCCAGGGCGTGCTAAGATCTCCGGTACCTGGTTAACAATATTTCTAGTTCGCGCGCGCGGGGCGGCCCCTGGGGGTGCCCGGACGAAAAGTACCCCGGCAAGGTCCCGGCAAGTCCCCGGCAAGGTCCCGGCAAGTCCCCGGCAAGGTCGGGCCAGAGATGCCGGAGCCCTGTTACAAGGCCCCAGGACGGGCCAAGAGGTCCCCAAGAAGCCTCCAAGACGGTCCAAGAGGGCCCCGAGACGGCCAAAGATCGCCCGAAGACGCCCAACAGGGCCCCAAGACAGCCCAAGAGGCCTCCAAGACGCCCCAAGGGCCTTCCAAGAGGCCTCCGAAGAGGGCCCCAAGAGGCCAAAATCGTTGATTTTCATTGTTTTTGTTCGATGTTTTTTGCGTTCTGGCTTTTTCGGCTTCCGGACGCTCCAAGACGGCCCAAGAGGCCCCCAAGACCGCTCCAAGACGGCCCACGAGGCTCCCAAGACGGCCCCGGAACGGCCCAGGAGGGCCCCCAAGACGGCCCAAGTGCCGCCCAAGACGGACCAAGAGGCCCCAAGACGGGCCCAAGAGGGGCTCAAGAGGGGAACCGAGAACTGAAAAATCGAGCCCTCCGCCCCAGAAGGCGCCCAGGAGGCCCCAAAAAGGCCCCAAGAGGCCCCCAAGAGGCCCCCAAGACGCCCCAAGAGGCGCCCAAGAGGCCCAAAAGAGGCCCCAAGAGACCCCAAAACGGCCCCCAAGAGGCCCCAAAACTCGGCTAGCCCACAACGGTGCGACAATATGGGCCGGCGGAATGAGCGAAGCGATTAAATAAAATTATCCCGGCAAAGCAACCTAACAGCGATGTGTAGGAGCATATCTGGAAGCATTCCCCTTAAGATTCAGATGAGAATCCAGTTGTAGAATTGTGCTGTTCTCGCAGTCGTAGTCGCATTCGCGATGACAGTCGCAGTGGCAACGGCAGTCACAGACACAGCCTCAGCCTCAGCCTGCCTCAGCCTCAGCCTCAGCCTGCCTCAGCCTCAGCCTCAGCCTCAGCCTCAGCCTGCCTCAGCCTCAGCCTCAGCCTGCAGCCTCAGCCTCAGCCTCTGCCTCTCAGCCTTCAGCCTCGGCCTCAGCCTCAGCCTGCCTCAGCCTCAGCCTGCCTCAGCCTCCTCAGCATCAGCCTGCCTCAGCATTCAAAATGTGGCCCGGGAATGTAGTTCTGGGAACTCGAAGAACACGAAGTGGCCTACAGTTGGCTCCGGGCATTCAAATCATGCCCAGGAATGGAGTTCTGGGAACTCGAAGACCACGAAGTGGCCTACAGTTGGCTCCGGGCATCCAAAATCTGGCCCGGGAATGGCCTACAGTTGGCTCCGGGCATTCAAATTCATGCCCAGGAATGGAGTTCTGGGAACTCGAAGACCACGAAGTGGCCTACAGTTGGCTCCGGGCATCCAAAATGTGGCCCGGGAATGGAGTTCTGGGAACTCGAAGACCACGAAGTGGCCTACAGTTGGCTCCGGGCATTCAAAATGTGGCCCGGGAATGAAGTTCTGGGAACTCGAAGACCACGAAGTGGCCTACAGTTGGCTCCGGGCATTCAAAATGTGGCCCGGGAATGGAGTTCTGGGAACTCGAAGAGCACGAAGTGGCCTACAGTTGGCTCCGGGCATTCAAAATGTGGCCCGGGAATGGAGTTCTGGGAAGTCGAAGAGCACGAAGTGGCCTACAGTTGCATCCGGTTATTCAGAATGTGGCCTGGGACTGGGGTTCTGAGAGGTCGACGAGCACGAAGTGTGTGACTGTTGGTGAAAAACGAGCCCGGCACAGGCCCGGCCGGCAACTCCCAACGCCTGCCCGGACCCTCCTGTGGAGTGATCTGTGAGCTCTTTTGAGTCAACTAGAAACCTATCAGTCTTCGCTGTTAGGTAAATACATTATCCCGGCAAAGCAACCTAACTGCGATGTGTAGAAGCATATCTGCAAGCATTCCCCTTAAGATTCAGATGAAAATCCAGTTGTCGAATTCTGCTGTTCTCGCAGTCGTAGTCGCATTCGCGATGACAGTCGCAGCGGCAACGGCAGTCGCAGTCACAGCCTCAGCCTCAGCCTGCCTCCTCCTCCTCCTCCTATTTCTCCTGCTCCTCCTCCTCCTCCTCCTCCTCCTCCTCCTCTTCCTCCTGCTCGTCCTCGTTCTCGTCCTCCTCGTCTTGCTCGTCCTCCTCCTCCTGGTGCTCTCTCCTCCTCCTCCTCCTCCTCCTCCTCCTCCTGGTGGTCCTCGTTCTCCTCCTCCTGGTGCTCTCCCCCCCTCCTCCTCCTCGTCCTCCTCCTCCTCCTCCTCCTCCTCCTCGTCCTCCTCCTCCTCTTCCTCCTCCTCCTCCTCCTCCTCCTCCTCCTCCT